TTTGGGATGCAGAGTTCAGAAAAAATCCGACTTTGGAGGTACATGCTCTGGGGGTACAAATTTTGGAGGGAAACGTTTTTTTTAAAATATATTTTGTGACAGATGAGGAGGGCATTCAGAGACTTAACTGGATGTGCTGGGTTCGGTGGTGTAGTAGTAGCATATCCGACTGGCAATCAGATGGGTAGGGTTCAATTCCTGGCCAATCCTTGGATTTCGTTTGGCATTTTTGCCTTCCATGTCCCGATACTCATTCCCTCTCCATAACATTATTTTTGCTTGAGTAAAACGGAGAGACGTGGAAAGCTTAAACTTGGCATGGACGTGCCTACTGAGACGATGAGTTCATGAAAAATGCAAAATTTTAGATCCATGCCCTGGGGCATATTTTTTTAAGCCGACGTTTTCAAGTATTTTTTTTTGTCCTGTCGTATTGAGTTAGTGCGGAAAGATGAAACATGGTACATTACCTAATGGGATGCTCCAGAAAACTTCGGATTTTGGAAGTAAATGCCCTGGGGGTACAAATTTCAAAAGGAGATGTTTTCAACTAATTTTTTTGCATCAGTTAAACTGATGAACATGGTAAGCTGAAACTTTGCATGAATGTNGGATTTTGGAAGTAAATGCCCTGGGGGTACAAATTTCAAAAGGAGATGTTTTCAACTAATTTTTTTGCATCAGTTAAACTGATGAACATGGTAAGCTGAAACTTTGCATGAATGTGACTACTGAGACAAGGAGTTATATAAAAAATGTTAAGCCTCGATACATCCCCTGGGGAATTTTTTCGAGGGGCGATGTTTCGAAAAAAAAAAATTTTGTCGTGGCGAATTGGACAGAAATAGAAAGGTGAAACTTGGCAAACATATAAGTGACATGATATTACTGAGCTGAGGGGGTATTCAGCTATCATGGTGCTTCCCCTCCGAGCATAGCGTTAGGGTGGGTCGGCTTTTCCAAACATGTATTTTCATGTAGTTCACTGAGGATGGATATGGACAATAGGACCTCGATTGCATGGTTCTGGATTCATTAACGAGCCAGCCGCGAGAAGTGTTTCGTATCATTGTCTTGCTGAAGCACCATCTCTTCCACTTCGAGCCGGTAATACTCCATTGTCGGGAGGAACAAGTCCTCGAGGATGCGTTTATTATATTGACAGGGGACTAGAACCAATCGAAAGCCAGGAAGCATGAGTATGATTGACTGAAATTTAAGTTAAATTGAACACGTCATACGCGAGTTATGAGTCATCAACCGGAACTGGGCCAAACAATGACAGGTTTGTCTCTCACTGTTTATCATTGAAATCGGATGCATACTTCCTAAGTTATACTTTTAATTTTAGGGAGACAATTGTGGACCAGCCTGTGGACCCAGACTCACTCGTTCAGTACAAAGTCAATGGATATTGGAAGCCAAGAATCCAGGCTATCCTCCTGCCAAACATGGTTTGAATTGATTGGATATTCATGAAGTTATTAGCATTCAAACACCAAAACCAAAACATTGGACAAATTTTACTGGTCAGTGTATCATGCGTTGTTGCCTTTTTCCTTTGAAGGCAATAGCAAAAATTCCATAATTTCTTTTTTTTGGAATAATTTAATGCTGAAACATTATCTTTGAGAAAGTCACATTGCATTTTGAAATTGCTGTCCACCTTGGGCAAGGCGCATTCGAACTCGCTTTTCATAGTTTCTAATGACTTTCGGAAAAACATCCTGTGGAATCGTAGATGCACGCAGCTGAATTGCAGCCTTCAACGTCAGCAAATTCCCAGGTCGAGTCTTTTAAACATTATTCTTTAGATGACCCTAAAGAAAAAATTCCAATGGGGTCAGATCAGGGGATCTTGCTGGCCACTCCATTGCTCCTCGTCTGTCCCAAAAAGTTAATGTGAAAGAAAGTCGTGAACTCTTCTGTCATTATGGGTTGGTTAACCGTTGTGTTGATGCCAGAGAGGGAACTGAGGAATAAAGTGTGCCATTTGTTGCTGAAACTCTGCAAGGACCTTTTGACCATCCAGAGGAGACATTGCTGTTTTTGTCTTCCCTTGTGGTCAAAGTGTTGAGCTTACAGAAATGTTGACACATTTTCAACACTTCCTTGTTGCAGGAACTTCACACGGAGGTTGTAAATTGAAGATTTGGCAGGCGGAGCCCTCCCATATTTTACCTGGAACCTCTGCTGAACGGAGGATGGACTTCTTGTAGCTAAATACCTCTTCACGATAGTCTTTTCTAGCTTTGAATAAATTGGTGGTATTCAAAACTAAAATTGGCTCACTTAAAGAACCTTAAGTGCAATGCCTCGTAAAGGTGAAACATATCCTTAACTTTCAGGGTCCAGAACATTCCAGGACGCACTGTACATGAGTACGCTTGTTGAAGTTAAGTCCTTGTCATTTTTTTGCCAATATATTTTCTAAAGTTCCAAGACTAATATTATTTGTTCACTTGAAATTTTCTTTTTCTACACATAAGGCGCCCAAGTGCAGTAAAAGTAACTGAAACTTGCAAATCTTATCAGTCACTCTTCAGGCAATGAATCTGCAATTTTCGGCTGAAAAAGGCCTTATAATGAATAACGATGGAAATGGGAGGACTACAGGAAGAAAGCGAGGAAAGAAATAAGACCAGACAAGTCAATCGAAGGAAACTTCGAATGAAAGATCATCCCTGCATTTTCCATCACACGTGGTTCACCGCTGGAGAAATCTCTCGCATAAAGAGATGAAAATGATAAGTATCGCAAAGAAATGTACAATGATGCATCTCAAAACTGATACACTTACAATACAAAATTGTTGGATCAGTATTATCCGGTCAATTCTGATGCACAAAGTAATGCAAAATTAAAGCGTAGCAAGTGCACCATTGTTGGAAAGGTTATGAACATTATTTGAATCATCATAAACCGAGGATCAAAGTTCAAAGTATAGGAAAATCATATTGTCCTATACTTTGAACTTTGAATTTCCATCGTTTGCACCTTTTAGCGAAGACCAGGAACCCCACAATGAGAAGGATGATGGAAGAAGCAATCACAGTGGACAAATTCGCCGAACTCCTCCCAGTTGCTGCCGTCGCACCAGCAACGTGCAGTTCTAAAACAGAAAATAAAATTTGTCCCCTGTACAATTTTGAACAGAAGTCAAGCGAATGCAAAATTGGCCTGGAGTATTCGGGGATGAAATGAACGCTCTCATTATTCATCTAATATAAATAGACGATCGTGACTGACTGACTGACGCTAATTCTAACCATGTTNTATTTATATTAGATGAATAATGAGAGCGTTCATTTCATCCCCGAATACTCCAGGCCAATTTTGCATTCGCTTGACTTCTGTTCAAAATTGTACAGGGGACAAATTTTATTTTCTGTTTTAGAACTGCACGTTGCTGGTGCGACGGCAGCAACTGGGAGGAGTTCGGCGAATTTGTCCACTGTGATTGCTTCTTCCATCATCCTTCTCATTGTGGGGTTCCTGGTCTTCGCTAAAAGGTGCAAACGATGGAAATTCAAAGTTCAAAGTATAGGACAATATGATTTTCCTATACTTTGAACTTTGATCCTCGGTTTATGATGATTCAAATAATGTTCATAACCTTTCCAACAATGGTGCACTTGCTACGCTTTAATTTTGCATTACTTTGTGCATCAGAATTGACCGGATAATACTGATCCAACAATTTTGTATTGTAAGTGTATCAGTTTTGAGATGCATCATTGTACATTTCTTTGCGATACTTATCATTTTCATCTCTTTATGCGAGAGATTTCTCCAGCGGTGAACCACGTGTGATGGAAAATGCAGGGATGATCTTTCATTCGAAGTTTCCTTCGATTGACTTGTCTGGTCTTATTTCTTTCCTCGCTTTCTTCCCTTTTTCTTTGCTTTAAGCTGATGTTGGGACAATACTTTTGCAAGTCCCAACATACAGGGGAAGACTTGCTCAAACGACAATTTATTCATGTCTTCATTTATTTATTCATATTTCAAATATTGACAATAAAATCTTGCATTCAACGACAGAAAATCCCAAGCAGCACAATATTTTGATCGAAGGGTTCCTACATGTTGCCAATGTTATTCTAAATTGCAAGTTGATGAACAACATTTATGCAACATAGCTTCAACTTTCCAGGCATAATTTCACACTTGAACAAACGGAATGTTGCTGCGACTCTTCTACGAATTTTACTACAGCATTTGCTATCAACATTGATAGAATCGTGATACTGTTGTCATTGCCAACGTGGCAACAGCATTCTGATGTAATTTTTCTGCGGAACTTCGAAATGCAACAATTCTGTATATGTGTAACCGACTCAGCTTATTGGAATACTCCCGGGACCAATTACCTTTATTCCATTGCATCGAGTACTTCCATTACCCGAAACAACCTTACACTGGACCAACGTTTCCAAGATTGGATAAGTTGGTACAAATGAGGTTCTTTAGCGCAAAAAAATTATACAGGGTTGCCCAATAAAACCGCACCAATTTTGATCGGCAATAACTTTTGAACAAATGAACCTTTTTTCGTTTTTGAAACGGGAATTGAAATTATTCATCTTTCCATCGCCATATCATTTATCAAATTTCCTTCAACAGAACCGGAGCAATTGCAGTTTAAGTACAAGCAACCAAAAATGTGGATGAACAAGGCTTGCTTTTGTTAACCCTCTCTGTATGCAGCATCCTTTGGCATCCTATGGCGATTTTCCGTTGCATGCTTACAACTGCCGTGTCTTTCAAATTTCATCCGATGAAAGTGCATTTAAAAAAGTTAATTCCAGTCATTTTCATGGTTGCTATTCAAACGATTATTGATTCAAAATCGGTTCAAGTCCTTCTTTGCTTTGCGCTGAATTGAAGACCGCGTATGACTGTTTCTTTCGAAATACGCCGCACACCACTGAGAATTAAATTTAAACGTGAAGATCAAAGAGAATAATTCAAGTTTAAACGAAGAAAAAACGCTACATTACACTGAAGAAGAACATGTCGGACTACTGCAACTCAGTATGAGAGCAATTGATAATAAATGACCAGCTAGACAACAGGGGCACGCTCGCAAAACCGGTTTTGAAAATAATTGGAATGAACTTTTTAAAATGCACTTTCATAGTATGAAATTTGAAAAACACGACAGTTGTAAGCATGCTACGGAAAATCGCCATAGGATACCAAAGGATGCCACATACAGAGAGGATTAACAAAAGCAAGCCTTCTTCATCCACAATTTTGGGGCTCCACTTAATTTGCAATTGCTCAGATTCCTTTGAAGAAATTTTGATAAATGATATGGAGATGGAAAGAGGATTAATAGACCTTTCAATTCCTGTTTTGAACAAGAAAAAAGGTTCATTTGTTCAAAAGTTATTGCCGTTCGAAATTGGTCCGTTTTTTTTGGGCCACCCTGTATATTAGAGCTATGGTCGCGCCTCCGGCGTTCCATTGCCCTATATAGTGATTCATTCATTAATTCATTTTCAAGGTGGCAAAAACGTATTAAAAGTGTCTCTCTCGAAATGTGTGTCGAGAGAGAATGAACCGATATCATTTTATCGAAATAATTACTCCGATTGTTTCTTTTGTGCCTAACTTCAAATCTCATCATAATCCGCCATGAGGGGTCATAGTTGAAAAGTGGGATCTGCACTCAGCAATCGAACAGGTATTTCTGAGCCAATTTTCACAATTCTTTAGTTCCCTCTTTCATTGAATCAGAAAGGACTCCGGAAAATGCGCCATTTGCGAAAAAAAATGCCCTTGGGGGTTCTACCTAAAAATTACTTTTTTTTTAAATCACTTCTAGGGGAACCAGATACATACCAAGTTTCAGCCATATCCGATTGCTCTTTTTTCTAGTGCAAAAATATATTTGGAAAAGCCGATGCAGCCAAAAGCTGTCCCCTGAGGGTATGCACCTCAAAATTTGAATTTCTCCTGAACTCACCATCACCTCAGTTATTGGTGTGCCAAGTTTCACCTTTCAATTTCTGCCCAATTTGGTAGGACAAAGAAAAATTACTTGAAAACGTCACCAAACAAACATATACCCCCAGGGCATATTTCTGTTTGCGTATCCGAAACTTTAAATATTTCCTGAATTCAGTGTCAGTAGGCACGTCCATGTCAAGTTTTAGTTTTCCATGTTTTTCCGTTGACTAAAGTAAAAAAAAAAATTTGAAAACATCTCGCCTTGAAATTTGCACCCCCAGGGCATTTACCTCCAAAGTATAAATTTTTCAAACTCAGCGTCCCAATAGATACTTATGTATCAAGTTTCACCTTTCTATCTCAGCTCAATTCGGTTGGACAAAAGAAGTTATTTGTAAACGTCAACCCCCAGAAATATGCCCATGGGGCATGCATCTGAAATTTGATTTTTTCCTGAACTGAGGGTCACAGTAGGCACGACCATGCCAAGTTTCAGCTTTCTGTGCCTCTCCGTTTGACTGAATAGAATTAAAAGCATATACCCCCGAAATGGTTGCCCCCAGGGCATGTACCTCCAAAGTCAGATTTTTTTTAAAATACCAAATGAACCAAGTTTCAGATTTCTAACTTCCCCAGAACGTGGTTAGAATTAGCGTCAGTCAGTTAGTCACGATCGTCTATAAATATTAGATACTCTTGATTCAAGTGTGTAAACATTTTTTGAGACCCTATATGTTAACATGGACAGAGATGAGCGCATCTCCACTCTTGGAATTTTCCTGTGAAGGCTGTTCGTCATGCTCTTTTTTTTACCAATCTAATCTGGAACCAACAAGCCCAATAAAGCGAAATCCTCTGTATTACCACTCCAAGAAGGAATGCTGATAACGTTTGATACGCATTATCAGTATTTTAAGTTTAGCGATGCTTGTTGCTTCCCGGAATGAGTTCTGGGAAACATTATACTTGGGATCTATTGTACTTTGGAGCAATATATCTGCGAAACTTGTGTGCCCAAGGCAATCAAGATCGTTCAGAGAAAAACATAATTGGTGGTGCCATAATTCTCCAATGAGTTAATACAAGTAACTCAATCCCATATTAGATAAACTAAAAATCGAGGTGCGCAATTATTCTCTAGAAAGTGTTCCGCTATGTAAAGTAAAATGGAGTGGTCCATTATTTCTTGAACAAGTTGTTGAGAAGTTACTTTCAAAAACAACACTCACACTGACATACGCACTCATGGCCATTGAAACCTTGAAAAATGTCTGTATGGCGATGAGTGTTTACGTACGAGAGGAGTGGATCTCCTTTACAAAGGAGGTCGATTTGACTCTCTTTTGCCTAAGATCTTACTCCATGGACATAATATTCAGGTATTGAACATAAAAAACGCTCGCATCTGAGGATATAAATATCAAATAGTTCACTTTAATTCCTTACCACTCGCACACCAACTGCGGAAATGGAAATGGAAACAGGCACGTTTATAACACATACGTGCATATACCAGTCCTGCTGTAGACTGCTGTGAAATGGTGGTGATGCCCCCGGTATTATCTACGGTCTGAAGTTATCTCCAGATAGCTATTTTCTCATAAATAAATAAAATAAATTTATCAGGAAATTAAAATAAATAAATTTCAAACTCAATTCTCCCAAAACTGGCAAGAAAATCCACCGATTCTGAAGCAAGAAATGGGGCAAAGAAAACTAGACTCAAATTAGTTGACTCGCATGTATTTACTGAAGGGCGTATTGAAGGTGTGGTACTCCACTCTGCCAGCATTCCATCAAATGCTTAACAAAAATCTCGAAAACAGATCGAGATTTTCCTGCACTGGTTTATGAGACTTCCTTGGAATTTTACCGATAGCAATGGGCTACCAGTTGTACTTCAAAGTTGCATGCTTTGACGAGAAACTCATACTTCATCAGCGTGTTTTAAGACTGTGATTCGACGATTTGCGACAGCCGTGAAATCGCTTGTGCAAATCACACACAGGACTTAGAAGATTACGAGAGCACGAATCCCTTGAAGAGGACGAGTCCAGTGAATGACTCCCTGGTAACACATAACATTGATTCAACGTTGATTTCCTGTGGATCAAATGTATCACTGTTGAAGGTTCATACTTCTATGTTGAATCTACATTGAGTCAACGCAGCGACTGTCACCGTTTATGCACTCACATTGACTAAGCATTGATCCAATGCTACACTTTTCATGGTGGAAGTGTCATCATTGAATCAGCCTCAATTCAATTGATTTTTTTGCGGTATATAATCCCTTGTGTTTTATGCCTACCGTTAGGATTATTTTTTGGTCATCCCATCAGAGTTCGTTGAATAGTTTAGCTAATCACCTAGAATACTTTTCAATTAAGAAAAATACTCTATTTAAGGCAGATGAGAAGGTGGCTGATATTACGCCAGGTCAGAATTCTATCGCAGCAAACAAGAAAAAATAAAAAGTAAAAATTTATCGTACTTATCTGATATTATGGAGTTCTCTCAAAACAAACGTAAACTTAGAAAAAAGATATGCAAT